AACCCTCTACCCTGATCTTAGTGTGTATATCCCTTGCTCTGTTATGCTATATTTTAAATTCATACCTGTATTTTGAGCTAGGTATTTCTTAACTTTGGCATTTTAGAAAGAAAAAGTGAAAATAAATTGAGTTATTTTTTCAGAGGTGCAATTGTGGCATTTTCACGAAAAGCCAGGGCTCTTTGATATGAACATAAAAACTACCTTTCTCAGAAGAGTCAGACAAACTCCTTGAATTTTACCACATTAAGAATATATTTGTACTTTCACTGAAATAAGCAACATGAGAAAGAAAGAGTCTTGTAGTCAATTGGTTCTATGTTAACAACTTTTCTCATTTATTTCTCTTTAAACTACCTGACATTACCATTTTTGAGTACAGATGGTGTATAAATAAATGAAAAAATACATTATAGATACAAAAAATACTGCTTTAATCCACATAGATTCAGATTAACTCCATTCTTGCCCATAGTTTGATATAAGTAGACACCATGTAGGTTATATTATTTTCAACTTATGCAATATTAAGAATAAATCATTTTTTTTCAGAAGAAATTCTGAATTTTTGAAATAATACCCCAGGACATTCAGCCTCTGCAGAATGATGGCTTCCATCCATCTGACAGACCCTGGCGATGCACTATATTTATTTTCTCTGCTTATGAATGATACCAGACAATGTGAAATTTGCCTGTGGTTAAATCTTACTTTGTGGCTGTAATTCTATCTTACTAGTGATAAAACTCTTTGTGGTATAAATTTCAACTAATCAATATCTTTGAAACAAAACTATTTTTAAAATTCTGATAGGCTAGTGCATTATGAGATCTGCTCTAAGGTCATGTAGAATCAAGTCTTTCTGCACAGAGCACAATGCAGTTATCACAGTAACTATGTGGAGGTAAGAGAAACTTCTCAGGTCAAGGGCAAATCTGCCATCAGACTTTCCTCACTTCAGCCACCAGCTACATATTCTGAATTCCCAGGATACCTGTATTTCTGGCCAACTGCCTGTACATTCAAGGGTTCTTACTGCTTCCTTAGGCTCAATAATTCACCAGGATAGTTCATAGGACATAAACATTATTCAATTTATGACTATACTTTTTATTATAAAGAATGCAGATGAAGACAAGGAGAGCTATGTTAAGGAATGCTCTAATGTGAGGCCCCTCTAAGTTTAGGAAGTGGCACCATCTAGCACAGCAGTGTGTGTCATTTACCTGAACAACAACCCAATGTTCAGTGTGCAGGGTTTTTGTTGGATTTCACTATGTATAACCGGTTGACTAAATCATTGACCATTTCGTTGAACTCAACCTAGCCTGTTTTCTCTCCATCACAAAGAGACTCAGAGTCTCAACTTATTAACAGTTACTGTTTTGTATATGGCCAGCTATTGTTTAAAGGCTCACTTTGAGCCACTTTGTATGCATAAAGCTGTAAGTGATATCTCAGGTCCATCATGAATAACAAACACAACCTATGCCAGGATTTGAAGAACTAAGCCCAGATAAATTCTTTATTATACAGTATTTAAAAAATTGAGAATTGTGGCTTATTTTATATACAATGGATATAATGTATTGAACAAAAATACATTGTCAGTCATCACCCTTTTGTGTTAGAACAGCTTTACCATGCTGTGTAGTTGATTTTCTTTCTTTTTTTTTTTTTTTTTTTTGGTTTTTCGAGACAGGGTTTCTCTGTGTAGCTTTGCGCCTCTCCTGGAACTCACTTGGTAGCCCAGGCTGGCCTCGAACTCACAGAGATCCGCCTGGCTCTGCCTCCCGAGTGCTGGGATTAAAGGCGTGCGCCACCACCGCCCGGTGATTTTCTTAATCTTTGGGGCCTGCTACCCAGCTACCAAATAAATATACAGACTTATTTTTATTTATGAATGCCCGGCTTTAGCTTGGCTTGTTTCTAACTAGCTTTTCTAACTTAAATTATCCTATTTCTCTTTATGTTTTGCCTCTGGGATTTTTGCCTTTCTTTATTCTATATATCTTTCTTTCCTTCTTACTCTGTGGCTGGTCGTGTGGCTCGGTGACTGACCCCTGGAGTTCTCTTCTCCTTTTCTCACTCCTCGATCTCTTCTCTAGATTTCTCCTTCTATTTATTCTCTCTGTCTGCCAGCCTCACTCCTGCCTAGCTATTGGCCATTCAGTTCTTTATTAGACCAATCAGGTAAAGTAACACAGCTTTACAGAGTTAAACAAATGCAACATAAAAGAATGCAACACATCTTTGCATCATTAAACAAATATTCCACAGCATAAATGAATATAACACATCTTAAACTAATATTTCACAGCAGTGCTGTCATAAAATTTCTGAGAAAATCAACTTAAGGAAAAAAGGCTTATTTTGGTACAGAGTTTAGAGGTTTCAATCCATGGTAGTTTTACTCTGTTGCTATTTAGGCCTGTGACAAGGCAGAAACCTCACAGCAGAAGGGCATGTTGGAAGAAATTGCTTATTGCATCACAGTCAGGAGGCAGAGAGGGACAGAAAGAGGGAATCTGAGGTAAGCTCTATCTTTCAAAGGCACATGCCTAATGACATACTGTAGCTAGAGTTTTCCTGCCTGGCCCACAGTCAGGACAAATCTCTCTCACCCGCCAGTCCCAAGCCACTTAAACCCGATCAAATAAACACAGAGACTTATATTGGTTTCAAACTGTATGGCCGTGGCAGGCTTCTTGCTAACTGTTCTTACAGCTTAAATTAATCCATTTCTATTAATCTATACCTTGCCACGTGGCTTGTGGCTTACCGGTACTTTACATCTTCCTTATCCTGATGGCGGCTGGCAGTGTCCCCCTCTCCAGCTACCTGTTCTCTCAATTTTCCTCTCTGTTAGTCCCGCCTATACTTCCTGCCTGGCCACTGCCAATCAGTGATTTATTCATTGACCAATCAGCAACACATTTGACATACAGACCATCCCACAGCAACATACGCCCTTCAACTGGAACCTGCCTCCTTGTAGTTCATTCTGCTATGAATTTACCAATGGCTGAATCCACCAGTGAGGCACATTCATTATCCAATCATTTCTTGGTGGTGCCACTAATGGGAGACCAAGGCTTCAAAACAAGAAACTTTGGGGACATTTTATATCCAAATCCTATGTCCCTTTTTTAGAAAAATTAAGAGCCATCTTACTGGAATAAACCCAGTGTGCTTGCTTCATTCTAGTGGATGCTGTTATTCCATGTAGAGAGTGTCTTTTTCCAGTCTTCTCTCCTAGAAAACTGCATCCAAACTATATCCTCATACTTTCTTAAGAAACTCCAGAGTTACCCCTTATAAGAGGTAACTCACCCCATGTCAACACGTTGCTTTTACCATCTGAACTTTACAATAGTATGAGTTGCTGGTCACATGTGATCATCATATTTTTTTGTCCCTACCTCCTGCACATATGTATATATTGAGTTCTCAAACATTAGAATTCAAAGTCTTTGAGTGTGGAAAATTAAAGATGACTGAAAATGAGTATTTTTAGGTAAGATACAGGAAGTTCTGGATCTAGTCTACTGCCTATGCTTTCAGTTTTTTATTCAAGTTATAGTGCAATGGGTTTGCTCAGTCTGACATTGTTCTCCATTCTTTACCTACAGGATATTCAAGATACAGAGAACAGACAAGTTTCCAAGGAGCACACATTATATAGAGAGAAGGGAGGGAGATGGAAAGAAACACACATACATGGGCTACTTTTAGATAATGAGAGGAATGTGAAGACAAGGCAAAGCAGACTAGGACAAGGAGGTGGGTTCAGTTTGGATGGCCAAAAAAAGGGTTCCTTGTGGATGTGAGAGGTTGAGCAGGATGATATGGCGGACTCTGCCCTGCAATGAGCTGGAGGAGAGCATTGCAAGTGGGGAAGGGGAGGAGCAGTTTCCAAGACCAAACTGTGTGTGGTATATTTAAGGAAAAAAAAAAAAGCAGGAAGGCCAGAGGACCTCAAGGTAAGGTACAGAGAGGGAGAGGGAGAGAAGTTTGAAAGGAGGTCACAGAAAAAGTTCGAAACCAGTGTCACTGGAAGGGACAGATTTGATTCTGAGTTTATTAGACATTGTAAAACCTACAGAAGTAGAACACTATCTGCCAGCTCAATAGTGAACATGAACCGAGGATGAAATAAGGACTTGCTCCTCTTTAGTCCTGTTTCCTACACATGTAAAAAAGACCAGGAGTACCTATGTCGTTTTGTGGCTTGCTTTTTGTGTTCACTAAAAATATACCTTAAAAAGTTTCATATGAATGCATATTAGTCTACAATGTAATATGACAATAGAGTATTTCTTTATGTGATATGATATAGTTTTTTATTCTGTCTACTATTTTTGAACATTCAAAATAATTTTTGATTTAGTTATTAATTTTGTATATAAAGCCCAAAACATGTTTATGATTATTGTCTCTAATTGTATTCTTAAAGTATAAAATTACTAGGTTCAATAATGTAAATACTTTAAATATGTTTGACGTGTTCCCTCCCAGTTATGTTAGCTTGCCTCCTTTGGACACGGTTAAATACATTGAACTGGTGTAGAAATCACTATGTAGAACACGCTGCCTTTGAACTCACAGAGATCCACTTGCCTCTGACGTCTTTGCACTTGGATTAAAGGAATGCACCACCATACCTAGCACTCACTATACACACACACACACACACACACACACACACACACACACACACACACACACACACACACATATAAAATTTTAAAAAGCCTCTTTGCCACCTTAATGAGTAAAAACTGTTGCTTTGAGGTGGGAGTTTTAGAAGGGGACAGCCTTACCTGAATTTTCTATTGCTGGAAATTCCTCCTGTTGAGAGAAGGCTGACTCACTTAGCGTGTGAGACTTTGTTCTGCTCTGCTAGACCAAGTGTATTCAGGGGAGAGGAGAGAGAACCCTGGAAAAGGATCTTTAGGATGGAAATGAATGTCACCAAATTACCTACATCCTCAACTCACCAAAGGGAGAAGATAGAGGAGTATTGGCTCCACCTGAAGTGTCTCAGAAGGAAATCTGTGAAAGAACAAGCTGCTGCCGAAGGTAGTAGAAGTCTCACAGGGGCGTCAGCTTCAACAAAAATGTAAAACCCGTGTGCCAGCTTCAAGTTGGCATTTTCAAGCTCTCTTCACTGTAGTCAATGGCGTACCTTCACACAGTAAGTGCAGCTGAGGCAAAGAGGAAGCCTTGCAACTGCCAGAGAGAGAAGAGAGGCCTCTGAGATGAAATGTTAACCTAAGAAGTGGAAATGGCCTGTCATCGTCGCGAGCTGGGCTCTTTGGGGTTCACTTTCCTATGGTGAGTGAACTGGAGTGTGGTACCCGAGCAAGAAAGTCTCAGTAAAATTAGAACCATCATTTAAAAAGAGCAGAGAGAGGGCGTGGAGAGGGAGGGAGAGCGAGTTCTTTCTTTTGTGTGTGGGTGATAAGAAGCTTAACAAAAGTAGGGAAAAAAAATGCTTTCTACGGATGTGAGTTTTCATGGCAGTCTCAAGCCAGCACGCTGCTGCCTTTATTGTGCACTAAGCTACTTTAGCAAGCAGAAGATAATGGAGAGACAGAGAATGGTGGAAACAACAGCCAGGAGGGCTGGGGGAGACCTTTGACAGGGAGTGTTTGGTAGCTAAAGCAACAATACATGTGTCCTTTGTGTCTCACATATTGTGCTCCTTAGAAGAAAGGGAAAGGATATGTGAGTTTCTCCAACAGCCGAATTCTTGTCATAAAATGTGCTTGAATAGCAATCTTAACTTTTGCATATAAAATAGTGTGATATTTCCTGCTTACGGTCAGAAAAGGCATAGACATATATTAGAGAAAAATAGCACATGTGGAGTGTACTGAATTATTAATCATTGAAAAAGTTTCTTTCCACATATTGTACTGGAAAAATAGAAAGGATTTATTTATTTGGGGAAAGGAGTGTCATCCAATTGTCTTGCTCTCTTAGTTTCCAAAAGGTGTACCGCTATCTCAGGGATGGCAAGAGTTGAGGGATCAAGTTAAACTGTATGTTGTTCCAATTGTCAGACTGACTATTGTTCAAGCTTTTAGGGTTTTCTTTTCTTTCTATTCAAGTAAGACTCCATGTTAACACAGACAGTAGACTTCTAAGGAAGCATCGATTATGCACCTCTGCCATACTGTGTGAAATGAAAATCTGTTTGCAGTTTCCACAGACTGTTCTTCTATTTAGGTCCATCCTAATCAACAAGTATCTTCCTCCTTCATGATGTACCTTTCCAAAACTATGGAAAACTGTCACAATTCACTTCTACATGTCAGGGACTGTCTGGTTCTTCCTCACATTGTGTGCGGCTTTGGGCTGTTTGATCAGTGCAGAATAAAGAGAGAAACCCTTCAAATCAATTTGAAATTCAGTGGCACTTTACAGTGTTAGCTTCTTTTGAATGTTAGTTTTTCTCCTCAGGAAATATGTCCTACGTCAATGGGAAGCTCTGAAATCTGAGGTGATGATGTGGTGATGTTTGTAAAGACACTTAGTCTTGTTTCATGCACATAGTAACAAGTCAGGTCCAATTTTTAATTTTTTATTGAAAATAAATTGTTTTCATATAAAATATTCTGATTATGGTTTCCCCTCCCTTAACTCCTTCAAGATCCTCTCCACTTCCCCACACATTCAAACACACACACACACACACACACACACACACACACACACACACACATACACACACACACACACACCCCTCTCAATACAAATGGGTATCTAAAAAATAGTATCAATAATAAAATAAGATAAATAAGATGAGAAAAATCAACAAAGAAACCAAATAAAAAGTGCAAGAAACACATACAGATGCAGAGACACACACATCACACAGAGAGAAAACCCATAAGGACACAATCAGAGACTGTAATGTATAAGCAAAAGGTCATAAGGTAAAGAAAAAATGCTGTGACAAAGAACAGTGAGACAAAAAAAACCTCCAAAAATACTCTTGAATTCATCTTGTGTTGGCCATCTATTTCCTGGACATGGGACATGCCCTTAAGTGGAGTTTGTATACCCTTTCTCCATTGGAGAAAACTCCTTTTTTCCTTTGTGAGCAGTTATCAGTTGTACATAGCTTCTGGGTCAGGGATGGGCTCTTGTGCTCACTTCTCCCTGTTTTGTAACCCCAGCTGGCCCAGACCTGTGCAGACCCTGTCAATGCTGCCACAGTCTTTGGGAGGTCATATGTGTGTTAGTCCCATTGCATCTTGAAGGCCTTGTTTCCTTTGTGTCTTCCATCCCACTGGCTCTTACAATCTTTCTTCCCCATCTTCTGCAGAGTTCTCTGAGCTGAGGGGAGGGATTTGATGGAGACATCTCACTGGGGCCTGAGTGTCCCAATGTCTCTTACTCTGTGCATATTGTCTGGCTGTGGGCCTTTGTATTTGTTCCCACCTCCTGCAGGAGGGAGCTTCTCTAATGACGACGGAGCAAGATATTGATATATGAATATAAGAGAATGTTGTTAGAGTTATTTTATTGTTATGTTCCTTTAGAAGAACAGCAGTATTTGGTTTTCCCATAGACCCATGGCTTATCTAGTCTCAGGTTCTTAGCCACTGGACAATGTTGGTGATGTGTTCCACCTCATGGAATGTGTCTTAACTCCAATCTGATGATTGGTTATTCCCACAACTTTTGTGCCATTACTGTACCATCTTATCTTTTAGGTAGGCCATCCTTGTAGATTGCAGGATTTGTAGTTAGGTTGGCATTTATTATTTTCCTCTGGTAGCATGCAGAGTACCTTCCTGTACCATGAACACTAACCAGTAGGGTTGAACCTCTGGGTAGGCACCAGTTCTACTTCCCCATGTTCAGGGAGATATGTAGGTATTGTCTTCAGCAACAGAAACAATAAAACTCAGAACTGAAATCAGTAAAACAGAAACAACAACAGCAACAAACAATACAAAGAATCAATGAAACAAAGAGTTAGTTCTTTGAAAAAAATCAGTAAGATTGATAAATCCTTAGCCAAATTGGCTAAAAGACATAGATTACCCAAATGGATAAAATTAGAGATAGCAACAGACACTGAGAAAATCCAGAGACTCGTAAGTACATACTTTAAAAATCTGTTCTCTACCAAATTGGGAAATCTAAAAGAAATGGACAAATTTCTTCATTTATAACACCAATTTCTTAACTTTTCCAGTCTTTTGATTTGAGATAATAATTATTTGTCCACTGTGTTTTTTAATTTAAAACTAGTGAAATTATGCAAATGGCTTAGAATAATGTATGGCATATAGAACCCAGTGTGAACTCATCATTGCCCTCATCAATACTCATGGTCATTAGTGTTTATCTGGAACTTAAAGGCAGGTGCACAAGGGTGTTGTCACTTTTGCTACATATTGCATAGTTGCTATATCAGATTAATGAGTATGAGTCCCAGGAACTGCTTCTAATTTCCATACCTTTATTATACTCTAGATATTTTGCTACAAAATAGTTATTACATATTAGAATGAGGAAATGTGTATTTGATCATTGTGTATTACAGAGGATGGGAAGTAAATAAAGATGATGTATTCTCTAGGAAATTACAAACTAGTTGGTATTTTGTAGACGAATCATAGATTTCCAAAGAAACTAAAAATGATATTTTAGAAGAGTAAGTTATTCCATATATCTTTAAGTATTTAATTTTCATTTTTTATGAAATAAATTTATTTGCACTTTTACTCTACCGTATTGTTCTCTATAATGTGAAATATCTTATTTAGTTTCAGAAAGACACTGCATCTTCTCCAGATAGGAACAGCTTGACAAAACAGGGGTGATGGAGAGAGGGAATTGAGCTAACTGCGGAGTAGTCTGTCTACAGCAGAGGCCACGGACATGGGTGAAGAAATAATGAGTAATAATAATGATAGGCTATTTATTTGGATCATTTATATCTCTCTATATAATTTATTATATTAAATATTGCATAAAATATGTGATTTTGTTCACTTTCATTTTATACTAAAAATTTTACAACTAGATATCACTAAAATTCTTTATACTAATTTTGATTATGGTTATATTGACATTCATTTGAATATAGTAAAAATAATGAATTATAAAGCTTGATATATCACTTGTTTTCATAGATATGAATGTTTAAATAAATTATAGTTTTTCCTAAAAATAAAAAAGTGCTTAAAAAAATACTGCTGAGTACTTAGTTCCAAAGCAGTGGGCACATGGATTCTGTTTTATACTCTTCCATATTCCCTTATAGAGATTTTTAAGTGACTAAAGATTGCAAATCCTACCCTAAAAACACCACAGACAAAATTATTTTCAAAGGTTAAAGGCATCCATGTGGAAGCCAGATTTGTTACATAGGCTAAATCTCACCATGGTGCCATTTGGAGTTTTGACAAAGTTATACATTTGGGGGTGAAAAATAGTCTTTGAAAATACCAAGGAAGACTCATAATATGGAAGGGTCATATAAGGCGTGTCAGTATTAAAAATAGCAAACACGTTCACAAAACATTTTTGTAACTATCTTATTTTTCAACAACCAGCATATTTCTTAGTACACAAGAGGCATGCAATAAAATGGCTTTTGAAGGACTAAATAAATGAGTAAAGTTGTGAATGTAATTTCCCAAAATGCATTCCAAAGAACAGACTATTTTCTCTCCTCACAATGTCTGTCACTTTACTGTCTTGGAAATAAGCAGTATTAATGCTAATGGAGATCCATGAACACTGTGTATAACTCAGGACATGCTGGAGTTTACTAAACAGTGAAATTTGTATAGGGGTGTTGTAAATCTGTTCCGCAGTTTTGTTAATGATCTCTGATCGTTAATCCAAAACAGATCTCACAGGTGGAAGACATCCTAGAGACCATGTAGTACAATTTACTAACTTAAAAATAAACTTCACTGTAAAAAAAAACAACAAAATTTGCAAATAAAAAATACCACAGACCAAAATTAACCAGATCCAAAGTCAATACATCTCAATGTATTCTATACAGTTAGCATAGGCACTCTGATCTGTGGAGATATTCATTGGATTTTACACGTTGTCGCTGAATATATATTTTTATATCTTTATCCACAACCCAAAATAAAAAGCCCATGGTAGAGTGAGAAGGAGAAAAGCAATTACTATCATATCCTCTTTCATAACTTGTGTCCATCACTGCCTTCATTCTTCCTTATCCCATAACATCTACCTTCCCCCCACGCATGCTATACTGTATCTACATGTGTCACATGTCCGCCTTCCTTTGCAGAACCTAGCCAATAACATATGCATATACA